TTTATGAATAAGAATAACTGCAAGCAGGCCTCAAGCAGTATAACTTATTAGTTTATGCTTGTTTTCAGTACATTTCAGATGACTTGAGGCTGGGAAATACATTTCTCTTTTACTTCTCAGATGTGGTGGCAGTGTGGCGGACAGAGCCCCAGATGAGAGGTGGCTGAGATGCTTGTGTTCTGGAGGTGGTCAGTCATGATGAGCCTTGGTTCTACGTACACCACCTCATGTTTCTTAACGGTAAAACTAAGAAATTATTCTAAACTCTCTGCATTGTTATCCTCTCTAGATTTAAAACTTTGTCGTTAAACTATAGCATTTCAATTTCTTATGTCCTTGCATTTCATATAAAACCAAAATTTGTAAATCAAGCAAATAAGAATGTCAAAGTATGGAACTTGGAAAATAAGTGGACTAAGATTACCAGTTACATTAATCTAAATGCCAATGCATGAGTAAAAATTCATCAAACTGGATTATTGTAATTCTACATGGGATTAAGAGAAATGCCTCAAATCAATCAGCAAGTGCGGCCCTTGTTATGTGTGGCACTTGTTATAGGTGGTGCTGTGTGCACACAAGGACCACTGTATTGTGAAGGCCAAGTAATGTGCTGAATGAAGAGTCAAGTCTGAGCTTTCAATACAAGAAACAGCCCTTTCTGCAAGTAAGAAGCTTGATTTTCTTGATTTGTTAAAGATTTTTGTTTCTCAACAGCACAGTAAATACTAGGGTTGGAAAACCTTAAAAGAAAGAAAGAGAGAAAACTCTCATTGGCACCCTCTGAACATGACTTAGGCAAAATAGGTCTGATTAGCAGGAGACAGACAGCACGGACCTAGGGACACCAGCAGGTGCTTGACTGTATGAGGGCTCGACACCAGCCTCAGGACAAAGGCCACTTCCCTACCAAGTGGAAAATGATGAACCTGTGGCCTCCTTCGCGTGACCCTCCCTGCTAGCAATCTGATATTGTTTAAATTTAACTTCATCTACGCTGTGCTTAACGTACTGAACAGAATACAGTGGAATGAGAGAATTATTGTTGTATGAAAGGGTGAGGTTTCTCCCTCTGCAAAAAAATATGGTCCATTTTAAATGCAAGCCCTTGTTAATGCACATGTAATACAATAAATTTAATTATATCTTGAGTCCCTTAGACATAAATTTTATGCACAGAGAAAAAATAAACATGAAATTCACAAAGCAGTTCTATTGTTTCTGTCATATATGCAGAGGATCCTGATAAATTTTAAGGGGTGGAAATATCTGTTCATATTTCCTGTAATTTCTTCTTCTTTTTTTTAAATACTCATTTTTTATGTGTGTGTTTCATGTTTTTTTTTTAACCTTTTTGATTGTCGGTTTTCTTTCAGCTTCTTGATCATTCTATGGCATTACTTGAAAAAAGTCTTAATCTCTCTCTCTCTCTCTCTCTCTCTCTCTCTCTCTCTCTCTCTCT